TCTAAGAGTACTTGTTTCCAATTTCTTTTCCCTCTTATAGGTGAATATTTTGAAGTTAGAAAAGTGACACAAACTATATTAAACAGAAATTCGATGTGCATAGTAATGGCCAAGTATTCGATGAGAGCTAAAAACCGCACATTTTTGCTCTCTGAACATCTAAATCTCAATTGCATCGATCTGTTTACTGGAATTTTCAGACTGTTGACCACTATCATATGTTCAGAGCATGCACTGCATTGGTCTGAAGGACAGAGGCAATTGATAAGGTGACAGTAAGAGGAATCAAACAACATCCAAGGGGTGGGGGGTGGAGCTCAGTGGTAGAGCACATGCTTAGCATGCACGAGGTCTGGAGTTCAATCCCCAGTGCCTCCATTTAAATAAATAAAAACCTAGTTACCTCCCCACTCCCCCTAAAAAAATACATCCAAATACAGTTAATCATTTTAGACGTAAGCATTCGATTCAGCCACTTGGAAAACACTGCCATCCATAATATTTGGCATGAAGTTTACGGTAACACCGGGATTCAAGTCCTCATACCACTACCCACGAGCAATACGGCATTTATTTAATATTTCGAGATCCTTATCCTTCCTGGAAGGTGACGATAAAGTTCTATCTCATAGAGTCATTGTGGGAATCAAGTGAGACATTTCAGTTGTGTATTGGGAGGTTAGGGACGGGTATGAAAGCATCTCATAAACTGTAAAGTGCTAAAGAGCCGGTGTTTCGTATACATTTTTAATTTGTATCTAAGGTATGTGGAACTAGGTGCATCATAGTTCTTAATTCATAGCACACATTCAGCCTTGGTCCAGACTTGGCCCACCATTATTTAGGATAGATTATTTAGTTGGCATTTTTGATAACTTAATAAGCACTCACGAGAGGAGGGTATAGCTCAGTGGTAGAGGGCGTGCTCAGCATTCATGAGGTCCTGGGTTCAATCTCCAGCATCTCCATTAAAAAATAAATAAATAAACCTAATTACCTCCACCTCTAAAAATAATAAAAATTTAAAAAATAATAATCAGTACTCATGAAATCAACCCTCACAACATAAGCCAGCACCCTGGTAACAACTCACCCCCGGCCACACTGTCCCCTCTCCCACCCCCTGCTTCCCCACTGAATCCTGCGCTCATCACTCCCTTGGTTTATTTTTAAACAGTCTGATCAAGTGAGTGCTGCTTTCCCAAAAGAGTCTGTGAGTTTCCAGAACATACTCTATGATTTCGACTTCTTTTGCAGCCATCATATTGCACTTTCAATCAGAAATCTAAGACTCGAGTCTGCCCTCGGCCAAGGGCGCTCTCAAATGTCATGAGAGCTACAGGCCTGACAAAAGGGTTCAAAATAACTTATCAGAAATAACTCACATAACTCCGGGATATACAGAGTCTGTGAC